CACATATACTTTTCGGCATTTATGTGATCTAATTGCGTCGCAAGTGCCGTAAAACTCTTACTAAAACCAAAGCTAAACAAGTGTTAAGTATGTTATACTAGTCTATCCGTAGTATCACAGGCATGTGTATATTTCTGAGTATACATACTGTAGTTTAACTATACACGCATGTGGTTTAACTATGCACACCCACCTCATGTAGCGATGCAACTTGCACTGACTGGTCGCAACTCTCTGCTCTGCGCCTCGACAGCTACTCACGCAGTCTTCAAAAGTCCGTGGTTCACGCCTCGGCCTGTCCTTGTTTTCTTCAATTTCAAATAGGTAGCCTACCGTACTCGACTACTTTCCCGAGAATCACACAGCTAACCACACATACAGAAAAATATCCACGTCTTCAACACGTTTACTCAATTCATGTGAGAATATAAGTGGTTCATCATCATCATCCAGTGCCAGATCTGCGACAAACATAGGCGATATTGGTTCTCCATTCATTCCTTTGCTCGGATGCTAAAAAAAAAAGCTACGTTTCCCTGATCTTTCCCTGTTACCCACTTGTTTATGTTCCCTAAGTATGTTGTTCTGGGCCTACCCCTGCCTAGCTTGCCCTCAATTTTGCGAGTGAGAGCTAGATGTTCAAGACCCTTATGTCTATTCAGGTGTCCCAAAAACTGCATTTGTCGTTTCCTGATTGTTTTTAGCATCGAGCGTCCCACGTGGGCTTCATCAAGCACTACCTTATTTGATTTCTTTTCCTTCCACGATACTCTAGCAGTCTCCTAAGAAACCACATTTCTGTTGCTTTTATTTTATTTTCACTGTCTTTAGTGACAGTGGTTAACGTTCCAAATCCAAGCCTGTTTCTCGTCCTTGGACCTAATTTCTTTCACCTTCGATAAAATGTAACAATAAATGAAAATTGTTCTCTCTTTCTATCCTGTCTGTCTATCTTACCTTTTCCCAACACTAAGTGGCCGCTATTGTATCGGTGTTTTTCTTTAGTAAAAAATATATAAAGGTCACACAAATACTACGTCAAGTAAAGCTGAGTGGAAGAGTGTGCAAGGAGCGGATCGACAATCCAAGGGACACAACTGCGTTAAGACTAAAGTCATAATTAAGTATATCTACAGTTGTCTTTCTTTGAAAATGCTCCCTGAAATTTATCAAGGCTATCGGAAGTTTCAAGATCCTCGTGGAAAACAACAACTATAATAATGATTTAAAAAATAATAATAATCGTAATAATGATGATAGTAGTAGTAATAATAAAATTATACAATGATAATAATGATAATAATAATAATAATAATAATAATAATAATAATAATAATAATAATAATAATAATAATAATAATAATAATAATAATAATAATAATAATAATAATAATATAATAATAATCGCGAAGAAGAAGAAGAAGAAGAAGAAGAAGAAGAAGAAGAAAAAGAAGAAGAAGAAGAAGAAGAAGAAGAAGAAGAAGAAGAAGAAGAAGAAGAAGAAGAAGAAGAAGAAAGAAGGAGAAGGAGGAGGAGGAGGAGGAGGAGGAGGAGAAGGAGAAGGAAAAGGAGAAGGAGAAGAAGAAGAAGAATTTTGGGTTGCAACAATGAAACACTTTATTTGACAATTTGTTTTTTCAAAAAAAGGGACCCAAAAAAACGACACACAAAATGACTACAGTGACACTATCAGTATCACTAAGCTTATTAGTAAAAGAAATTTGTTGGTGATCTTTTCAAGTCTGTTCGGGGGCACTAGGTGAAAATTTGTTTGGGCTCTAAATCAAGTATACTGGGATTCCCAATAACAAATATGGGTCAAGAAAAAGAAACACGCTATCCTTATATGATTTCATTGTCAATTTTCTGAATTTTTTTTAGATGCAAAGGGTTCGACAGACCAAAATTAGAGCAAATTCTAAGCAGGGATTCTGAAAAAGATTGAATTGACACAGCCTTTATATTTTCACGCAATGTTTCTGTATATACAACCTGCAACGTGCTAAAGATTTACTTTCCTTAATCTCATACTTTTCTTGTAACTGCCCTTTTAGTTTCAGTGTCATATACGATACTCGGACAAAAAAATTATCACAAATCAGAGTGATACTGTCAATCTTTTTTACCCTGACAGAAAACTTATCACAATAATCGTTTAGTACGTTGCAAACATATTATCTAGGAACAGTCATGCAAAGTGAGATTGAGCTGTGACATGTTATACTTTCAGAAATATCTCTGCACATATATAGATGACCACCAGGGGCAGCTCGTGGGGCTAAAAAGTGGGCGTGCACAATAATAATTAAGCCATGGCAGGCTGAAGATGGTCAAGGGCATAGTAAATGAGACGGTGTATAAGTTTAGGATCTTTGGGTTGGTGAGGGAGGGCCTCGTGGTTATATTTTCATTCTTCGCTTTGATTTCTAGTACAAAATTTGTTTGTTAGCTAAACATCAATTTTGTTCATCCTGTATTGGAACTGAACACTCAAGTACATGTAACAACTTTCACTACTCCATTACAAAACTATTCACAGGCACAACTCATAGGACGGTCACGTTCACCTCCCTCAGTTTCACGGCTACAGAGTCACTTAAAATAGTAGCAAGACAAACAATGAACAAATCACAATTCATTTGAGCACTCCGCTGGATTGCTCCGACACTGGCAAAGAAGAGCGTAGGGTCAATCGTGTTTATTTTTTAGACTGCCTGCTGTGGACTATGTTCGCTACTATTCGGCAGGAGCACATTTGAGATGTGCCGGCTTATTAATATTAATGTACCGCCAAACTCGCTACGAGTGAAGTCATCGTTTGGGTTATCCCCAAGAGCGATTTATAGGTCAGGTTACACTGTTGAATATCCTTTTCTGTTTAGCTAAAGCGCGTGGACTTTGGCATTGTATAGTAAATGTTTTACGGCGCTGTAGACATAGAAATGACAGTTATGGCGCCAGTGAGGACTCTTGTTTTGATATAATATTTGGCTACTGTTTGTTTCTGGCTTCTTTTATTATATTATTGTTGGTGTTTTACGTAATAAAACATTCAAAAATGTTGGGCGGCACTGCACGACCGTGCTCTATGGACGAACCGCGCCTGGTCACCACATCGCCCTAGGAAAATGATAGTTTTGAGAAAATTAAAAAAAAACCAAAAAAAAAACAACAACTACGAATTCATATTGGTCTATTTCAACACAAGGTTAAAAAAACATGGGTTATGTGAGCACTTCTTAGATGTTTTAGACGCTTGAAAATATTGCCAATCGATAAAGTAGATGTTGCTCTACTAAAGTAGTCCAAAATCGAAAAATCTGTTTTGGATACCAAAATCTACTTTTTTTCTGGCTGTTGGCTACTGTCGTAGGGTACCTGGACCATCTGTATACTGCGTGTCTGTGTTGTCGAAGCACACCACCATCTTTCCAAGAGATTGGGTTTCCGGACACTGAAATTCCTGGTTGTTTTTTTTTTGCTCACCGTACGGCGACAACCCCC